TTTCCTCTGTTTCTAAATTTCAAATAAACATTTGATGGTAATCCATAAGAAATGTCTTGTGCAAGTGTCCCCTTCTCCCTGCACTCCCCAAACAACAGCGAAGATGTTATTGCTATACACTGCTACCCAGTTCCCAAAGAAGGCCACCTGCAGGATGCTAGATGAGAGGAGACTGAATGTGTGAACCTCCCCACTGAATAGGGGGCAGGAAGGTGCCTGGGCTCATTCAGGGATCACATTGGAAACTGTGGTTAAAAACTTATACTTAGGGCTGGGGATATAGCTCAGTTGGTAGAGTGCTTGCCTCACATGCACAAGGCCCTGGGTTCAATCCCCAGCAACACACACACACACACACACAAAAAAAAAAATTCACTTAAAACATACACTCACACTTACCATGCACAAATACAAATACTACAAACTACTACATATTCCTGACAAATACAACTTAGGAATGGGCATGGAAGAATGGAAAGGACCAGCCTATGACAAAGGTCAAGTGCCATCAACAGCCCTAGAGAGTGACATCTGAATAAGCATGATAATTCAGTGTCTGTGCTCTACACAGGGATCAAAAATGCTCCTTTATAAAGCATAAGAGAGCACATAATTTAGGCTCAGCTGGTCAGGTGGCCCCTGTCAAACTGCTTGACCCTGTGGTGGCGATGTGAAAGCTACAGGCAGTATATCAACAAATGAGCCAAAAGGAATAAGTACTATGTTTCACAAACACTAAAATTTGAACTTCGTATAATTTCCATATGTCACAAAATAATAATAATAATAATTATATGATGATGATGATGATTATGATGATCTTTGCAATGATCTAAAAATGTAAAATCTGTTCTTAACTGATGGGCCATACAATAGAAGAGTGAAATGCTCACAGACAATAACAGCAAGTACTCTCTATATATCAGATATGTTCTAAAAGATTTACAGAGATATAGATATATTTTACATGTATATTTCTTTAGAGTAGTACTTGAAGGCAAATACCATCAGTATGCCCAACTTATAGGTGAGGAAAAAATGAGACGTAAAATGACATAACAAGTGAGGCATGGTAGTGCACGCCTGTAATCCCAGGAGCTCAGGAAGCTGAGGCAGGGGGATGGCGAGTTCACAGCCAGACTCAGCAACTTAGGCCCTAAGCAACTTAGTGAGGCCTTGTCTCTAAATAAAAATTTTAAAAGGGCCAGGGAGGTTGCTCAGTGGTTAAGCACCCCAGGGTTCAATCCCCAGTCCCACACCCCCCCCAAAAAAAAAGACACAGCAGGTGACAAGCAGAACCAGAAGTG